ACACTTGGCGATCCAGGTCGAAAAAGAACAAAGAACGCCACATAGAGGGCCAGTAAAGCGAACCGAACACAGGAGCAAACTTTTCAACACAATGGGGGTCAGCAAGTCTATCGGACAACAAAAACATAACAGTACTTTGTAGTCACAGAACAGACAGGAACAGAAATGAGACGAGAAAAAAGAGACAGAAAAGAGACGTATCGTCAGCGTACTGTGAGATTGGAGAAAGCACCATAAAATCAGGAAGACGGAGGCCAGAAATAGGTGGATTACAGTGAATATTTACAGCGAGCACCTCAGAGACTAAAACATACAAAAGTGGAGACAGCGGGCAACCCTGCCTCAAACCACGGGAAAGGGCAAAAAAAAGGGGAAAGATAACCATTGAGATTAATGGAACTTTGAACACAGTGGTAAAAGAGGTCAACCCACGAGATAAACGAAGGACCAAAGCCCATGGCAGACAACGTAGTGCGCATAAATGACCAGTCAACACAATCGAAAGCCTTCTCTTGGTCGAGGGAAAGGACAGCCACCTGAGTGCCCGAGAAGGAGGCAAAGTCAACAACATCGCGGAGCAACGCCACATTCTCCCCAATAAAGTGGCCAGGTACACCGCAAGTCTGATCCTTATCCACTACTAGGTGAATGACTTTAAGAAGACGACCGGCGATAGCTCTAGAAGCAATTTTGTAATCTACATTAAGGAGCGTGATTGGCCGCCAATTTCGAGGATCAAGACGATCACCTTTCTTGAAGAATAGGGAGATAACACCCCTACGCTGAGAGAGTGAGAGAGAGCCAGAGTCAAAACACAAATTGAGGACAGCAACAAGATTGGCCCCCAAAACATCCCAGAACTTAAAATGAAACTCCATGGGGAGACCGTCCAATCTGGTGGCCTTGGATCTGGCCATTCCCTGGAGGGCAGCAAAACATTCCTTGACAGAGAGAAGACCCTCACAGAGGGCAGCCTGATCATGATCAAGAGTGGATGTAACGTTGTCAAGAAGAGATGAACAGACAGCCAAGTCAGTAGGCTCAGCAGAAAACAGAGATGAATAGAAATTGGACAAACAAAACACAGGTCAGTAGGAGAAGAGACAATAGAGCCATCATCCTCCCTCAGCGCAGAGATCCAGTGGTCAGGCAAAAAAAAAGCAAAAAAAAGTAAGCCGAGGAAATGTCCCCTTCTTCTATCCACTTGATCTGGAAGCGGACCTGCGCACCCTTGGCAGCCAAAGAATCTAAATTGGCTAGTTTGGAAAGAGCAGAATGGTACGGGCCCAAACATGAGACCAACCCAGCGTCAACTTTAGCCTTGAGATGGTTAATAAGACAAACAAGAAGGTCTCTATTTCGAGACCAGGCAGAAGATTTAGAACAACAATAACGAATAGTAAGACCCTTGATAAGTCCCTTCCCATCCTCCCACCATTTTACCAAAGAGGGAAAACGATGAATGGAGGACCTCCAGTTAAGCCGAGCGTCTGAGATTAATTTGACGTAGTCATCATCTGCAAGAATGGAGGTATTCAGCTTCCACAGACCAGGGCCAGGAGAAACAGCATCAGGTACCAAGATGGACGACAAGACAGCACAGTGGTCCAAGAAGGGACATGGCAGAATATCCAGGACTTGACAGAAGGCACCCAAACATAAGGGATATCGATCAGATCGATCCTGGAGGCTAAACTGCCATTCCATCTCGTCCACGTGAAACAAGAGGTGGGATGGAGATACCTCCAAATGTCCACAGCACAGCAAGCGTCAAAAAGACCACAGAGGGAGACAGAGCTTTCACGAGAAGAGTCACTAGGGTCAGAACCACGACGATCAAGGGCACGATTAAAAACAGTATTGAAATCCCCAGTAAGGACAGTAGGGACAGAAGGGTCAATATGGGAGTGAAGATCATCCAAAAAGAGGTCATGATCAGGGTTGCGGTTAGGACAATAGATGGAACAGACATGGAAAGTCTTGTCCTGGAAGGAGAACTCGCATTGGAGGAAACAATCAACAGAATCAGACCATGAATTGAGAAGGGACAACGAAGGATGAAAGAGAACAATGCAACAACACGAGTGAGAAGGCCTGGAGAAAAAGCAGAAAGGAAACCAGAAGAGCGGAACCAAAGAGAACACTCAGCAACTGATAGACAATGGGTCTCCTGGAGACAGACAACATCCACACTCACAGGAATGAACCGCAGCCAATGGACAAGACCATGTTTTTAGACTGGTCACGCAAACCATTACAATTAAGGGATAAACTGGAGAAAGCCATTATAACAATTTGGAAAGAAGCCATCATGAATTTAGTGTTTTGGACGAGCAAGCAAACAAGAAACAGAAACAACACCAGCAGGCAGGTGACCCATGGACTTTTTAGCACTCTTCTTATTGGCACCAATTTTGGACTTGGAGGCAAGGGCCAGAATAGAGTCAGAAATGGAGCCAGGTTTTAATTTGGAGGCAGAAGGCAGGTCAGCCGAATCAGAAGAGAACTCCCCGATGGGCTCCTCAGAGAAGGAAGCATCAGACAGGAGCCTCTTACGAGGGTCAGCGACAACAGCCATTTGAGAATCAACAGGACCAGGAGACGGGGTGGCTGAAACAGCCGAACCATAATAGTTAACATTATTATCCTTATCACCTACATTATTGCTACCAATATTCGTAAGACTACATTCAGTATTTCCTATGGTAGTAACTACACTGCTAGTATTTAAATTAACATTATTACCATTGGTAATACCATTACTTAAGAAATTGAAACCAATTTGATTGGAATTTTTACTAGATTGGCCATCGACACAATTTTGCAGAATACTCTGGCTGCCCTAGGATGCAAGTTCATCCAGCTGATTGAACCTCTCAGCCATCACAATCTCGGGAACGGAACCACTATCAACAACAGGGGGAGAATCCCCGGCCACAGGGGAAACAGAGCCCTCCTTGATGATGACGACAACAGGGTAAGGGGCCAGAGGGTCCACGACGGAAGGATCCACTGCAGGAGGATCAGGCATGACATCAGCAGGGGCCGAATCGTCACATAAGTCACTAGACAAACCTACATCAGGGTCAGCAGGGGGAACACTTTTGCCCCACGGGTTGGGACAGTTGCAGGCAAAATGCCCCTCGTCACCACACCAGAGACATTTACCCTTGTGGGGGCAAGAGGCTGCCTTGTGATCACCATTGCAGATGTCACACTTTAAAGGCTGACCTTTGTACCAAACCTTGCAACGGTACCCATTGATGATGACAAACCGAGGAATATGATTACGTCTAATCATACAAATGATACGAGTGCCAGTACAGACCTCAGGGAGGTTGGTCCAATGTTGGAAATGGACAGAGTCAACCTCACTGTAATGACAAAAAAAATCAGTAATCGGTTGATTGGAACTTTCGAAAAGATAGAGATAAACAAAAACATTCGAATAACGTGGCGGAGGCAGTAACGGAACAACCACCAGAAGAGAAAACCATTTAATTCAATACGTTGAAGCTCTTCGACGGCCGAACGAGCCTCAGGCTTGACAAAAATTATGCGTGCAACGTGGCCTGGGCACTGCTGAATAGACCTAACTGTATATTTGCCGGCAAAATATTCAGAAATATATTTTGCAACGTCAACACTCAAAGTACCAGCTGGGAGCTGGACAGATATATCCACCGTGTGCTTAAGAAAAGACGGCGGTGGCATGATGGACACAAGGCAAAAGGCCAAGCAAAAGAAAAAAGGTTAAGCCCAGATGGGCGAGGACCCCAATGGATGGGTGACCCAGCTTAACCAAACGCTGGATGGGTGACCAACAAATCGACAAGAAGGCTCGAAGGAAAGATGGCACCCAAAAAAGCTAGGAAAACCACAAAAACGAGCCAAAAGCTGGCAAACTTACCAAAAATCAAAGAGTGACAGCAAAAACTGCACCAAAATGGTAGGGCCTTCGGCCATACACTCCTGCGTCAGGTAAGTTTTTTTTATATTTAAAGCGGTAGAATGGACTTGGTGCAATGTCCATTAACCCTATCGACCAGCATGAAAGTACAATACAACTACCGCCGAAGTGAGGGGGCACCCTTATACGAGGCCAGCCTGCCAACTTTGCCGGGGAATCAAACCCCACCTCACCATGGAGAAAAAACTAAAAAACAGAGAGGACGAGATGCAATGGATTAAAAAGACTAAGAAACACTAAAATGAGGACAGAAAGACAACGTTAGAACCATCCACTGTACAAATGGTGCCATTGCCACCCCACTGACACAAAGAAACGACGACGATTGGAACGAAAATGTTTAAGACGAAGGTAAGTAAAACTTGACACGTGCTTTGATGGAAGCGATAAGGTTCACAGCACTTGGTTGTACAGACCAAAACCGATGATCATTGCGTTGAGTCCAGATCACAAATTTGCACACAAAAAGTAAGTATACAAAAATATGAGGTACACAAAGAAATTCATCAGAGCTGAAGCCAAAAAGCATATGACGGAGGGTAATGGAAGGAGCCAAAGGGGATGCCACATAAAGAAGGGACTGGATCCAATCTATCCCACTGCAGGCCAGGGGGCACCCAAAGAACAAATGATCGGATGACTCTAGGAGGTGGCCGCAAAAGCAGGAAGTGGAATAGTTATAACCAAAGGAAGACAGGCGAGCAGCAGTATATAAGACCCCATGACAAATTTTCAAAATCAATGATTTTCCGGTCAAGCGGTAAAAAGGTAAGTTGCCTCCATGTAGCAGGCCAATACAAATCCTCAAACACTGGGCGAAATTTTCGTACACAATGGGGGGAAGCTATGTTGGGAGATAGCATAGATTTGTAGATGGACTTACAAGTAATGGATGCAACAGAAGTGTCACCAATAGCTAAACAATTAAGAGGGACGGAAAAGAAACCGCCGACAGCATGCCAAGCTTTCAGCAGAGAACAATAAAAAGGGGGCAAAAGGGAGGGTTCAAAATCAAATGGAGAGGAAAAAACTTCCATAGGGGAGGCGCCAAATCTGTCAAAGTACCAGAACGTCATCAGTGATACCCACGTGTTGGGAGAGGTTAAGAATCTTCTCACCCATTGAACCAAGAGAGCAGAAGTCTTGTACTGAGTGTGGACAACCAAAAAACCTCCAGAGTTAGTGGGTTGACACACAACAGCATGAGCAACCATCTCTCTTCCCACTCCAAAAGAAACGAAAACACAAGGTATTGAGTTCGTTGAGAACCATAGGGGGCTTGTGTATAAGAGACGCCACATACCAAACCCTTGAGAAAGCAAGAGCATTAATCACCAAGGCATTCCCCTGATATGAGAGAGAACGCGAACGCCATGAAGAGAGGCAGTTTTCGACAGCATCAATCCTAGGGCGCCAATTTGCCTCCTCCAGATCATCAGGACCAATAAAGACACCCAAAACCTTGATCTTAATGCAGTTCCAGCAGATAGCAACAGGGGCATCCAGGCGATGCCGCCATAAACCCAACCAAAGGCCCTCACATTTGTCCACGTTGATTTTAGCACCAGAGGCCTCAAATAAATCATACGTTTCAAAGACTGCAACAATAGTCTCATCGGAGGAGAAGACAACAGAGGTGTTGTCCACATATAGAGACAGAACAGAGAGATCAGGTGGTCTGGGGGTCGAAAGACCTGAAATAGCAGGATTCTTGTGAACACTGACTACCAAGACTTCCATGGTTAGGATGTAAAGCAAAGGAGACAGGGGACAACCCTGTCTCACACCATGAGAAGGATGAAAGGGTTTGGTGACAGCCATTGACAATCACAGAACTGCGTATGTCAGTGTAAAACAATTTAATCCATTTGCAGAAACAAGCACCAAAACCCATTTTGGAGAGAGTGGAGAGTAGAAAGGACCAGTCAACTCGGTCAAAGGCCTTCTCTTGATCGAGGGATAAAATTGCAACGGGATAATTTGTGTCAGAAGCATAGGAAACCACATCTCTCAAGAAGGCAACATTTTCTCCGATGAAGCGACCGGGCACTCCACAGGTTTGATCAGGGGCAACCACAAACTGTACAACCTTTAGAAGACGACCAGCAAGAGTTCTGGTGCACAGTTTATAATCTACATTAAGCAAGGTAATAGGACGCCAATTCTTGCAGCTGAGTCTGTCCCCTTTTTATGTATAAGTGTAATGAGACCAAGTTTTTGGGTCTCAGACAGAGAATTCAGATGATAAGCTTTGTTAAAGACTTCAGTAAGGTCAGAGCCAATGACATGCCAGAACTTGATGTAGAACTCAGCGGGCAATCCGTCAGAGCCAGGGGTCTTATTTCTTGACATGCCATTCAGGGCAATTAAGACTTGAGCCAAGCTCGGAGGACCATCACATAAGGCCGATTGATCGGGAGACAAGAAAGAATCCAATTTGTCAAGAACACAAGCTGCTATGTTAGTATCGGTCTCCCCAACAGTAAAAAGGTCTAAATAAAAATATCTCCAAACAGAGCAGATCTCATCAATTTTGAGACTATTACTTCCTCTCTGTTGTGAATGGCAGAGATCCAGCTTTCAGAACCACGTTTTTTCTCCAGATGGAAGAAAAAAGAAGAAGAGGTTTCACCCTCCTCTGCCCAACGTGCCCTGGAGCGAATCTGAGACCCCTTAGCAGCTAGGGAGTCTAAACTAGAAATCTGAGCCAAGACATTTTGGTAAACTTCCATACAGGAGACAACACCAGTGTCAATGCAAGATTTGAAGTGAGATGCTAAATTAGAGAGAAGGGACCGGGAACCATGACGTTCTCGGCACTTCTCATTACAATGATTAATTGACAGACCTTTGATCTGGCTTTTCCCCAAGTCCCACCAATCCAAACTGGATGGAAAAGAAAGTTTACATTTCTGCCACTGTACCGAAAAATCAGTAATTAAGGTGACATAATCAGGGTCATCTAGAATAGACACATTGAGATGCCATCTGCCAGGCCCACGAGGAACCACTTCCGGAATCAGGGAGGTAAAGACCAAAGCGCTATGGTCCAAAAAAGGACAAGGATAGATTTCACAGGATGACACGGAAGATGCCCAAGAATAGGGACAACCTACCAAGTCAATCTGAGACGACAAAGAGCCATCAGGTTTATCCCAGGTGAAACCAAGTGTTGAAGGGTGAAGGGTCCTCCAAGCATCTAGAATGCAACACTCACAAAAGAGGTTTGTGAGGGTTTGGCTACTGTCACGCTTGCCAAACACGGAAGATGAACCTCTTCAATCAACGGAACAATCAAAAACTGTGTTGAAGTCTCCGCACATGACAGTGGGGACAGATGGATCTATGGAATCAGCTACGAATTCAAAAAACTCATCTCTGTCAGGATTACAATTTGGAGCGTAAAGACTACAGACGCAAAAAGTGTAGTCGCGGAGAGAAAATTCGCATAATACAAACGCCCCTCAGAGTCATTCCACACGTTACACAAATGAGAAATGTACCGGAACAAAACAATTGTCCTACAAG